CCTGTATTTAATGTATCTCTTCCCTTTGGCTGCTTTAGAGATTTTTCTCATCTTTGGTTTTAAACAGTTTGATTATGATATATGTAGGTGTGATATGCTTTGTATTTATTCTGCTTGGGGTTTTCTGACCCTCTTGGGTCTATAAATGAATGTGTTCTCTTATATTGGACAAATATGGTACAGTGTTTTTTCATATACGTATATATAATCTCACATTTTCTCTCTCCTTTATTTTTGGAATTCACTTCCACATATATTAGACTACTTGGCATTGTACCAAAGATATCTGAGGCTACATTTCTTTAATTTTCAGTATCTTTTCTCTCTGTTCTTCAGATGAGATAACTTCTATCTTTTAGTTTATCATTCTTTTCTCCTTCCAACCCCATTCCATTGTTATACCCATTCAGTGAAGTTTTCATTTCAGACATTATACTTTTTGGTCCTAGATTTTCACTTGTTTCTTGTGGCTTTCATTTCTCTACTGAGATTCTCCATCTACTTGTTCATTGTGATCATATTTTCCCTTAAATACTTGAACATAATTACAAGTTATTAAAAAAATTTTTTCCCACCAGTTCCTACATCTAGGCCATCTCAGAGTCAGTTTCTTTTGACTGCTTTTTCTTGAGTCTGAGTCACATTTTTCTGGTTTTTCACTTGCCTATTAATTTTTGTTATTGTATGTTCAACACTGTAAATTATACAATATGGTCTTCCTTTAATGAGTGTTGGTTTTATTCTTGTAAATTTCCCTTGGCTTGTCTGGTTTGTTTTTATTCTTTGAGAATGTGATATGGAGAGACAAATTTTTGAATTTTTGACCTAAAACATGATTTTTACACAAAGGTGTGCCCTTCCTAAAGGGATGGCCTTTCTAACATCTAAAGTGAATGCTTGAAGTGCTTCATGAGGTCTCTCCACCCCCACTGAGATAAAATTCTGTCTCTCAACACTGCATGATATGCAGCAGGAGATCCCTGCTAGGCCGTGCAGTCTTATCATGTCCATATTCATCTCAGCTCTTGGCCAAAGAACCATGGTGAATCCCCATGTAGATTCTTAGGGCCCCCTTTTTCACAGCTACCTACTTTCTGATATGCTACCCTGCCAATTTCAGCTGCTTCAATAGTCCAAGACTCCAAGTTCTCCTTAAATGAGACTACTCCGTATGGATTCCACTTTCTTGCACCCCAGGGGAAAAAAAGGTGCCTTTTAGCAGAAAAACCAGGACAACTATGGGATAGTCATGGAGCATACCTCATGTATGTCCCTTCTCTCAAAGATCACAGCTGTGTGCTGCCTATTACCCAGTGCCTGAAAAGATTTGTCACACGTAGCTTTAGAGGTTTCTTCCCAGTAGGAGAACAAGTCAGGTACCTATTACTCTTTCACGGCTAGAAGCGGGTCTTTGGTGCACATTTAAATGCACACTGAGATTTGACTGATACTTTTAACTATTCCTAAGAGGAATTTTTGACGAAGAATAGGTAAGAGCGCACTTAATAAAATTTTAGGAGTGACTAAAGAGGGAAAGGGGCAAAGGACATTGAAAACAAACTTAAAATTTCAAAATTAACCTATGTTATGTATACAATACGCTAAGTTGGATAAACTTAGCAAGTAAAAAATTGTAATGATATATATTGTTGTTATTTTATATATAACCTATATTGTAATGTATATGATACTCATAGACTTAGAAAATAAAAAGATATATTTTTATTTCCTATTTTGACCCATCCTGTTAATACAAAATGTTTTCACTTAAGGTCACTGAATCTAAGTTGGAGATACTAGACCTTTGAATCATTGGTTAGTGAGTAGCTAAATTAGGAGTCACTGCCTTAGGAAGAAGCCAGTTCAGACTGAAACACAAATGACTATTTGGTTGAAGAAGTAACTCTCCATTTTTAAAGGGTGGAGATGGTTTGGTAGTAAATTAGTTCTCTCTCTGCCCTGGGAGATTAGACAAACAATGGATCTAACTAAGAAAATAGACTGACTCATTTGGCTATGATGCTATACCGAAGTTATAAGCAAACTAACATTAATCTCCAGAAAGGGAATCAGGTTCTGTATACTGTAAATGAGTTTTACAGTCAATTCTGAGATTTCTCACTAAATTAAAAAAAAAAAGCAGACATATATAGGCCTAATGACACTCTGAACCCTGCCTCTCCTTACCTCATCATCTGCTATAGCATAGCTGAAGTCATATGCAATTTACTTCATTATTTATTAACTCTTCTTTAGGGTGGTAGTTTTTATTGCAAGAGAAGTGAGGATTGTAATAACTTCCCTTTCTCTGCATTTTCTTGAGCATTCCCCAACTTCTTCTAGTAGTGAACACACTATCTTCAAAGTGAAGGGTTCATCTGAAGACAGGTACAGATGAGGAGGGAGGCAAGTCAGACCTGTTAGCAGGAAGAGGAGTGGTACAGGGCTCATAATGGGTCATAAGTGAATAGGGGTGGAGAATAAAGGGAAATGTAATCACAGATCTGAAAGAGACAAGTCATCTGGTCCAGACTGCCTCTAGACAGGTCAGGAAGGGGTGTTTGGGTGGACCTATTTTCACATCTGGATTTAGCTTCTCTTGAACTTTTCAGCTTTTTGCCTTTTACCAAAGCTGATTTCTTCTCTGCAAGTCATGTGGTACTTCTGCCCCAGGATGAAGTCCTTTGGAGTGGATTTAATTAGCTTTGGGGATGGTCCGTTCTTTTTCCAGAAGGTCTGTTTCAGGTTTAGGTCATTCCACTGGCCTCACCAACAACTGAAGGGCAGATGTCCTGGCCACTCAATAATTCCCCGGGCGGAGAGGAAGGGCCTCTAAGCTGATGGTCACACTCCTTGTATTTCTAACTCCCCTTAGCTGTGAGGACAGGAGGTGCTGAGGTGGGTGGAACTTGGAGTTGAGTTTTTTAGGTAGTTTCAGGTCTCCTAGTCCAAAAGAGAAGCATACAGCTGCCTACCTTTCCCAACATACACATACACGCCCCTACATTATTTGCTGGTAGAAGTGAAATTTTGGCAACTTAGGGTTCCTCTGGGGCCACTCATTTCTTCCACATGTCCCAAGTTTCTGGATTTACTGAAAGAGACTGGACAAAGTAGAGTGGAAGTAAGCCGTAGCTTATTCTTCCTATCTTTCCTCCAGGAAAGAGGTTTATGAGCATAAGCAAAGAGGTAAATGAGATTATTTCTTGCTGTTCGGTGCCTATCACATCGCTCACCCCGCCTCCCACGCCGCCACCAGCGTGTGCACACACTGTGAGCAGAAAAGCAACCCCCACCCACTCCTGCCCCGCGCCCTCCTCACCCCTCCCTCCCGACCGGCACAGACCGACCAGAACTTCCCTTGGGTCGCGGCCCAGCGATATGGAGCGGCCCTGGCGCACAGCCCTGCTCTTCCCGAGTCGTGGGTGGCGCGGTGCTTGTTTCCCTCCCCTCCCTTTCCGGACCCAAACAGGGATGTATCTGGGTCAGCCTGGGAGGGGCTGGACCTGCCAGGGATCGGCGGGGGGGATGGGGGTGGCGATGACAGCATCTTTCAGGTTTTTGGCGTTTCTGAGCTTGGCCCCGTCCAGCCTCTCACCGCGCTCGCGCCCAGCAAGGGCTGATGCTCCGGCTAGTCCAGGCCCTGGGAGTGGGTGGGGGGGAGACCCTGTCCTTTCTATCTGGACAGCCACCCCTCCTCACCGTGCGAACAATGCGGCGCCCACCCCCACCCTCAACACGCACACACATTCCCCATTCCCCAAGGCACGCTCCCCTGGCGGGCGGCGGGTCCCTCCACCCCAGGAAAAGAGCAATGGAACAGTTCACGGCCGCCACGAGTTCCTGGTCTTCCTTCCTTTCCGGTGATAAACGGCGGGGCTACAAGCCAGTTGCTGCTTAAGATGCTCCACCCGTGAGCCTGAGCCTCTCTTGGCTCTGTGCGGGGGGGCCCAGATCCAGGACCCAGGGTCCTTTTACCCCCGCGAGGCGCAAAGGCGTGACCCGTGTTGGAGCACAGACCCCCGGCAGCTCCCCGCTGCCTCGGTTCCTCCCTCTGTGATCTTTTGCGCTCCACAGCGCCGGGGAGGAGCTGAGGGTGCGTAAAAACCGCATCTTCCCCAGACACTTTGGCTGAGGGTGCCTGGGTGAGGTCCGGAGGGTCATGGACTCCCGGCTCCCCACCCTGCGAGCTCTGTATATAAGCCCAGCTCCGAGGAATCAAGGCCACAGGTCTTCATTTCCCTGAGGCCTGGCCCCTCCCTCCCCAACCTTGCCGGGCTTCGCCTCGGCAGCCCCAAATCTCCACTCGCTCTTCCTCTTGGCGTTGGGAGAGAAGCGGAGCAATGAGTTGAAAATCATCTCTGGATTCTTGCATCCTGTACACAGTAATCTCCTCATCCTCTCCTTCATTTTCCCCACATTGCACGCTCGGAGACTTCTGTTTGCCGGAGGGTAGCTTCGTCTTTCCGCCACACCAGTCCTGTGGCAGGAGCCCCACTGATGCTCTCTGACCGGGAGCTTCCCGAAAGGTGCCTACCTCCGCGGGTGCTCGAGGCCAAGCGGAGGTGTTCCTCCGTCCCCGCCTCACCTCATCGCCAGACATCTCTTGCCATCCTTTCATCCACCCTTGTATAAAACCCGCGCCCCCCGCCCCACCCGGCGCCGCACCCCCTCCCTCGGCTGCTCCCGGCAGGCGGGGAGCTGAACGGACAGGGGCGCGCAGGAGGCGCGCAGAGCTCTCGGGCTGCCCGCGCTCGCTGCGCCTGGGGAATTGGGCTGTGGGCGAGGCGGCCAGGGCTGGCCTTTATCGCTCGCCCCGCTGGTGGTTTGAAACTTTATCAGCGAGTCTCGCCACTCGCCGCAGACGCGAGCGGGGGGCGGGGGCGCGGCGAGGCGCCGGCGGCCGTGACGAGGCGCTCCCGGCGCTGAGCGCTTCTGCTCCAGGCACGCATGGCGCCCGCACACGGAGTCTGACCTGATGCGGACGCAAGGGGGTTAATATGAACGCCCCTCTCGGTGGAATCTGGCTCTGGCTCCCTCTGCTCTTGACCTGGCTCACCCCTGAGGTCAGCTCTTCATGGTGGTAAGTCCACGCTCGCGGGTGCAGGGGGATTTTGGAGATGGGAGTGGGGAACGCACTAGCCACATAGACCTTTCCTGGTGGCGCTTCTCCGCGGCCACGGCAATCGAAATTCCTGTCGGAACCCCCAGCAGCTGTCCTCTCCTGCCGCCTCAGCCTCAGCCCCTTTGCTTCTCCACAGAAGACCATTCCAGCTTTGACAACTCCAAAAAAAAACCCCAGTCTCCCTCAAATGAAAGCTCGGATGTTTGGTTGATTTGGAACCAGATGAGCGACAGCAAAATCAGCCAATTTCTTATCCCGTTGAGAAACACGCTAGCCGGGTCTCTAGCTCTGTAACACAGGCATGTGTGTGCGTGCGTGTGTGCGTGCGTGTGTGTGTGTGTGTGTGTGTGAAAATTCACCTTGAAAACTGCAACCCTCTCCCCCCACCTAAATACCCCACACAAAACTGCCTCAAGATAAACTGACGGGCCAATTCTGGCAGTCGAGAGCTGCACAACGCAAAGCGTATGATTTTGCATTATTTCTCGTCCTTCCACATTCCTAATGCTTCACCCGTGGGACGGAAGGACCTCTTGCTGCCTCCAGGTAGAGATTACCACCTTAACAGGAAGATCCAGCCCCAGGGGGCTCGAAGATGCTACCCTGTTCAAAATCACAGTCCCCCCCAAAGAGTAACTTTGCTGTCCTTTGTATGCTGGTCTGAGATTTATTTTGCAGAGGGAAGGAGTGGCAGAATGTTGAAATGTAACAGGTCTTAGCGTGGTTAAAAGTTCCAAAGGGAGATTCTCTCCCCACTCCATCTCCCTTCCTTCTGATCTTGAAAAGAGGTGGAGTTGTAAGCTCTGTAATGTCCTTGAACCTGCAAGTTTCAGAACAGATACTAAAATACTGATTCAGAAAGACCAGTTATCGTGGGCTGTTGTTTTGTTTTGTTTTGTTTTGTTTTAATAAAAGGATCTGGCAAAAGTAAGGAGTCTCAGCCAAATTAAAGGCTAGAGCAGGGAATTTTAGGAAGACCCTAGAGCTCTTCAAAGGAGCCAGGGAAAGCGTTGATGGGAAGAAGGGTTCAATTCCTTCCTAAGCCGCTTTGAACAGGAAGGCGTTTAGCCTTGACTTTGCTGACACAGGATCAAACATTGATTTATCAGAGTGACCATTTTTCAATAAAATGACTTTCTGTTTCCATGGGTGTATAAACATTATTTATTGTCCAGGTTTTTTGTCACATTGTCTCTCAGCTGTCACAAATATATTTTTTGGAAGTCACAGCTGTAACGATTTTATGATCATATAAAATAATGAAAATACAAGAAAAAGACAATCTCCTTGTTTGATCGCTTCAAAAGACACCTATGGCAGCTTGGGTTATATAAAAGGTACCTTTCTAAACATTTCACAACTAATAGAGAACATCTGGGTAGAGATGATGATGTAATTTTTTGTTAAAGTTTCTTTTCAAAAGTACTTTATGGAGCTATAACATGGTTTGATTCTTCCAAACATTTAGTGTCCTTAATAACAATAGAAAGAATTTTTTTCCAAAGGTTCTCTATAAAAGCCAAAGAGAGCTGGAAAAATGGAAATATTTAAAGGATTCTTTGGTAAGGAAAGAAGGGCATGTCTTTGAGGATGGTGTAACATCAGATACCATCAGCAGGTGTTGATTAGACAGATACAGACAGTTTCTAAAGACACTTAAACATTAGGCCAAATAAATGGGAGCAGGCAGCTTCTAAAGGTTGACTTCCCTCAAAGCGAAGCCCAGACACACTGTGTCATGGAGATCAGAGCCTTCTCAGGGGGAAAAGTCTGAAGCCTTCTTCCCCAAACCCATTGCCCCTCTCCCTCACTCTTGACCTTGACTCTTCCACCCCGGCCGGAGCATCATCAGGTGGTGGCCCTGGCTTCCTGTCTGAGACACGCAGTCATTGCTCCCTTTTGGGTGGCTTCTACCAGATCATTCCCCTGCCTGCCGTGCCACCTCTTGTGTTCCAGTGTCCCCCAAAGGATAAGGAATTGCTATTTGAACCACGCTCTGAGCTCTTTAGTTTCCCAGGCAACATGGCACCAGCCGTGGCCATTCGTGGTGTTTTCACCTCCATGTTGGTCCTTTCCAGGTACATGAGAGCTACAGGTGGCTCCTCCAGGGTGATGTGTGACAATGTGCCAGGCCTGGTGAGCCGCCAGCGACAGCTGTGCCACCGGCACCCGGACGTGATGCGGGCCATTGGCCTGGGCGTGGCCGAGTGGACAGCAGAGTGCCAGCACCAGTTCCGCCAGCACCGCTGGAACTGCAACACGCTGGACCGGGATCACAGCCTCTTTGGCAAGGTCCTGCTCCGAAGTAAGTCCCCTGCCCTCGTGGAGCTCCGAGGGGCTGTCCCCTGACTGGGTCTTCAAAGACCCTGCTTACCTTTTCTTGCCTTTTATTAGTCAGAAGCTCCTTCTGTTGGGTGGCATTGTCTCTGTTTTGCAGATGACAACTAGATAAACCAAGGAACTCGCCTCAAGTTTTGAAGGAGGCCCGGTGTAGTTTAGGATGAAGTGTCTCTTTGCTCTTTGCTCTGTCCATCCGTGTCCTGTCACAACCTTGCCAGGGTCAGATTTTGTCTTCAGGAGAAAGGAGGAAGCAGTCACAGGGCTCTCTTGATTTTTTTTTTCTTTCTGGGATTTGAACCTTCCAGAGGATTTGAGCAGATCAAGGTGGAATACTCAAATCTTTTACTGACCAAAAAGTATTTCGAAACAAAACAAAACAAAAAAACTATGTGTTTATTAAGAAGCAGAGATAAATCTCTGCTCAGCACCTTTCACCTCTCATTCAGCTACTCAGCTTTGGGTCACTCTGTGTCTAAATTCAACATTTTTTTCCCCAGTAGACTGTAAATTCTGCAAGGTAGGGACTAGCCTCTCTTCCCTGCACTCGTGTGATGCCTTCTGGGGTAGGCACCGTTCACTCACGGAAGAGTTGAATGAATGGATGAACTCGTAGTGAGCGCCTGTTGTTTTTCAGGCACATTTTAGGAAGAATAATATTTATGGAGGATTTGTGTGAGAACCATGAGTACATAATCTTCAAACATACATGTTTTGTTTCTGTTTTACTTAGAAGGAGCAGTAAACACTATCTAATTACATAATAAATTTCTTAAAAGTTCTGAATATGGGAAGAAGCTGGTATACAATCAGAGCAAATTAACTGAAAATCAGATTTCATTGTCAAAAATACCCATCCCTTAACCTGGCACTACTAGCATTCTTCAAGTAGTAGCATGGCCCATTGGCTATTGGGAAATCCGACTGAAAACACAACAGTTTATGTGTGAACCCCAGAAAGAGGAAACTACCCTTGTTTTTGCCCACCGCCCCCCCATTCCTAAGAAAATTGTCCAGGCTGTACACTTGGTAATGCTTAACAGAGGGTGTTTCTATCATGTAATCATCACAGCCCTAGGGTTTTATGAGGCCAAATGCATAACTGAATGTCTCTAAAATCCCCCAAGGGCGTAGTACTCTCACTCAGTGTATCCCTAAAGTTAATTTACTGCGATATTCTGCAATTTTATTCTCTACTTTAAGAACTATATCCTCGTGCATTCCTTTTGGAGTTTCAATATGACATCGCAAATTTTTGAAAGGTTAATAGTAAATTTCAGCTACATGGAATTTTAAGACTTCACCTAGATTAGCTCACCAGTGAATCAATTAAAGTGCTGGACCTTGTCAGAGACAGTTTACAAATATCTAACACCAGTGATCTTTGGGCATGTTGTGGACAGGCTCTCAGTGTTTGAGGCTGTATGAGGACTTTCCTTTCCAAAGTACTCACAATCATTTTTCAATTGTTACAAATTAAATATCCTTCTCATTTACAAAAGGTTCACCTCCAAATTCTGTCTGAAAAAATCCGTTCAGATGTCTCCATATCGAATAAAAACCTTTAGATCACCAGTCAGAGGAAGGGGTTTTGTCCACGGAACCTAAAGATAGCATGTCCAGCTAAGCTGGGGATTCAACTGTAAAATCCTTTCATCTTGGCTGTAGGGTTGCTGAGAAGCAAGAGGTTAGAACAGGAGGAAGCAGTGGTCGTTTGACTTAGTGTCCGGCCTCAGGTAAATAAGAGTCTAAGCTGTACTTCCTTCAGAGTTCTTTCAGATGAAGCTGAATGCTTTGCCAAAGTACTCAAAACGTAAAACACTCATGCTACACAATCTCTTTCCGTTCTTCACAGAAGGCCAGATTTCTTCCTGGACATTTATATAAACTCCTGTGACTGTCGGGGATGATTTTGTGTTGGTTATGGGAGGGCTGCATTTGGCCTAACGTAGTTTATCCTGGATATAATCAAGAAATTCCAGTGAAGCTATCCAAAGATTTTTACAATTAATTGCTTGGAGGGAAATTCACATCTCAAGTTGTGAAGGACTCTCTTTTGGAAACCTAAATGTCCTTATAGATGAATAGGAAAGGCAAAGGCCAACGCCATTGATGGGGAGAACATAAAAGTTACTAACATATCCCATGGTCGTAGAGAAAAGGAGAACATTTACTTGCCTCATTTGCTTCAGAGAGCTAGAGGAAGACAATACAATTTCTGTAAACATTTGCAATTCATTCAGTCCACAGACTGTCACCAGCCATAGGCAGAGAGACTTAAAAGACCAAACTAATAAACCCAAAAACATTCCTGCAAGAATACACCTCCAGAATTCTAGAATAAGCCTTAAAAAACAAAAAGGTGAGTAGGTCTCATCCTTGTAAATGTATCAAAAGAAAAAAAGAAGCATTTAAAGAGAGAGCTGAATGACCCATAACTTTCCAGAATGTGGAGCTTCTAGTGTTTTGCCCTCCCAGGTAACCATCCCATGCCCCAGCAAAAATGATGCCTATGCACTTGATAGACATTTCTTGACTTATCTCAACCCCCAAATTATTTTTTTAAGATTTTATTTATTTATTTGTCAGAGAGAGAGAGAGAGAGAGAGCATCCACAAGCAGGGGGAGCGGCAGGCAGAGGGAGAAGCAGGCTCCCCGCTGAGCAAGTGCCCACTATAAGACTCGATCCCAGGACCCTGGAATCATGACCTGAGCCGAAGGCAGATGCTCAACTGACTGAACCACCCAGGTGTCCCTCTCAACCCCCAAATTAGTGAAACTTCAACCACATCAGGAAGTTAAGTACCACCGTTTAGATTTGGATTTTGTTTCATATTGTGATGGCTTTAAAAAGAATCAGTTTTTCTAAGAGGCCCAAGATCAAAATTTGTTTTGTTACAAAGCCAACTCTTGAAATGTGCTACTATTTCACACATAGCATTTTAGTGATTCATCTAAGACACTTAACTGAAAACATCTTAAGGCCGTTATCTACATGATACCAAAACATCTGGAGGTAAAATGAAAAGTCAATCAATGTGCTAAGTTTTGCATTTAAATATATAGACATCTAGGTATTTAGTAATGTGTTTGAATAATAAATGACAAATATTTAGAAAGGTGATATTTTTGCTTTGGAAATTACTTCAGAAACACAGTACATTTTCAGTGATTTTTCTTCCTTCTTTCAGCCAACAAATCAAGGTAATTGTTTGCCAGTTATGCTAGGATGAATTCACCTAGGCAATTTATTCCTCTACTGCTTTCAAAATACTGTCTGGTCACTGACATTGTATTATCCACATCTTCCATACCTTTCCCCTAAAAGACCACCTCATAAAATTGCTCTTCTTTCTCCTTAAGAACTAAGACTACTGCTAAATACATTAAGCATTTGGAATCTCTCCCCTCCGTGGCATCTCTAAATGAAGGCACCACACTCCAAATACAAAACCAGGCATTAGCAGATCAAGGGGGTAACTATGGACAAGGCATTTTCCTAAATTATAAAATGGGTGTAATAAAAATTTTATTTATCTGAAAGTCACTACCTGAGATTAAGCTACGTTAGTATCTATTAATCACCTTCTTTTACAAAACATCTCAATTCACTTAGAAAATCTATGATCCTTGTAATATAACCTGGGACTCTTTAAAAGAGCTCTATGACCATCACATTTCTCCCTGGAGAGTGCTACCTGCTACCTATGGCAAATATTCATATAATTGATTTTACCTAAATACAGGGCATGATGGATTCCTTTTTTGATGGTTAGAGGTTTCAGGGGAGATATTTTTTGAAGGCTGAGGTAAGTGCCATTTAATATGGTGTAGATATGTTTTCCTGATTTTTAATAATGAGACTAGCAGAGCAAATATTGCAAGGGACATATAATAAATTTTAGCACTGAATGACAAACGGAAACATGCAGGGCTTCAAGGCGAGAAGGTGGTTTGTTCTCCCAGCTGTGTGGTTCAAAAAGTCACACTCGTCTTGACATATTGAATCACCGAATGGCCCTCCATTTTCTGCCTTGCATTGGCATGAGGTTGTTCAGCTTCTATTTTGATTGTTAATATATTTGCTGCAGCACCCATTAATAAAAGGGCACGCTAATAACAATGAAATACAGCTCCACTTGAAAAATGAGGTGCACACAGACCCTAAAGAGCCTTATATCTGTCACTATACCACAACACCGTGTTATGAGTTACTACAGATTATTAAAATAATTTAATGTAGTTATTGCACTGAAATATGTACCTTTCAGCCTGTAAGGGAAAGTAGCTTGTGCTCTAATAAAGAACAATTCTAAGAAAGCACCCCAAAGGGTTCTTGCCCAAGTCTAATTATAGGCGGTAAATTTGTTTCCTTCCAGAAAAACCAAAGAAAAGCTTTTCACTGTCTTTTACCCAATACCAGTGATTAGTGCAGGTGTTCCAGAAGAAAGTAAATTCACCTTAATAGTCAGACGTAGTATGTGACTCAAGGATATTGCATATTGCCTTCAACAATCTCTCGATTACTCGTGAAAGTTGATGCTGAGCCAAAGCTCCCTGGGCTAAAGGCCCAGAGCTGGTTACTGCCTGAATTCTCCTCCCGGCCTCAGCCCCTGGGGGTCTTTGTTTTTGTTTTAAAGATTTTACTTATTTGGCAGAGAGGGACATAGCAAGAGAGGGTACACAAGCAGGGGGAGTGGGAGAGGGAGAAACAGGCTTCCCGCAGAGCAGGGAGCCCGATGCGGGGCTCGATCCCAGGACCCTGGGACCATGACCTGAGCCGAAGGCAGACGCTTAACGACTGAGCCACCCAGGCGCCCCTCTAGGCGGTCTTTGAATTCAGGCTTTGGGCCTCGGCTGTTTATGTGACAGGGTGTCGTCACTGAGACCTGCAAGCTTGGAAAGGGCTTTCAAGGACAGCTGCCGTAGCACGAATACCAAACAGTTTTGGGGCGTGACCGACTCCGTTACAGACGGAAGGAAGGCCTCCAAGGCCTCACACCACTCCTCCAGGACAGGAGGTAAACGTAAAGCCAGGAGGGGGACAAGACACGCTTTTGCTCCGTTTTCCTTTATACGCTTAACTGACGTGAAAGACAGTTGTCACACAGATGCCTAATCTGACAAAAGCTTTTATGACATGGACACAATTCCTATTCCCAAGCGAGCCCCGGCTCTAGACGAGAACCCTTCAGGAACACCAGAACCTTCCCGCCCCGTGGCGAAGTACGCCAGAGGTGGAGCGGGCGGGCCACAGCTGCAGAGTGAACGCTGTTCACAACCAGCAATTCCAGACCACGTTTAAGAAAAGCATTTCTGTTGCAGGTAGTCGGGAATCTGCCTTTGTTTACGCCGTCTCCTCAGCTGGAGTTGTGTTTGCCGTCACCAGGGCCTGTAGCCAAGGAGAACTAAAATCCTGTTCCTGTGATCCGAAGAAGAAGGGGACCGCCAAGGACAGCAAGGGCAATTTCGACTGGGGTGGCTGCAGTGATAACATTGACTACGGGATCAAGTTTGCCCGAGCCTTTGTGGATGCCAAGGAAAGGAAGGGAAAGGACGCCAGAGCCCTGATGAACCTTCACAACAACAGAGCCGGCAGGAAGGTATGGGCGGCCGTGGCGCTCGTTTTCTAGACTGCATGGCTTGGTCAACCACTTAAGCCAAGCTTACCTTAAGCTTTCCTCGAGTGGATAAAATGCTATACAGTCCCACCTACCCACTGCCCTGCCCACCCCCCACCCCTCCCCCGACCCCCGCCCCAGAATCTTTAGATTCTAAAGAATACCATGGACTGGGTTGAAATGTCTCCGCCCGCACTCCACCTTCCTTCCCACGGCTGAGCTGGAGTCCACCCACTGCTTTTGGCATTGTGTAGAGTCAAGTGTTTTATGGTCCCTCTGGATACTGTATCCTCTAGACAGAAGATGTCATCTGTGGGTGAGGGTAGGGCTTCATCCCACGTACCAATGGGACGTTGAATGCTTGTATCTGAGGGGATCAGGGCATCTTCTCTCAAACTCATCAGGAAAGCAACCCACCAGGCACGGCTTGTTGACTTTTAGATTTAGAGATGCTCTTTTTAGAACCCAACCCAACTCTCATGCATAAAAGCCCCACCTTGTGGTTTCTGGGACTGGATGAGTAAGTGGACCAAGGGAAGACATGTCCCAAAGGGGTGCTCTGGCCCCTCATCCACTAGTCCTGACTAACTTCCTGGGCTGTGGGTACCCAGTCATTATTCACCTCCTCACCCCCATTTGTTGGGTGAGGCAACAGGCCCTAAGGTGCTCAAGGTCACGGGGAGAGTCAGTAGCAAAGTCAGTACTAGCACTCCGGTTCAACTCCTGGCCCAGGGGTGCTTTGGCCCAGGAGTAAACCATTTCAGAGCTAGTATTCAGATGTGTTGATGTGCCATTTCTTTCTGCATGGTGACTGGACCAGAATAACTAGAGAATCTGGATGCCACACATTATCTCTTTGTGTAAAAAAAACATAAACTGGCTAATCAAATATTTGGTCAGAACCATTCTAGAATAATCGAACTGCCAATGAGAAGAGATAACCGTAATTTCTCTTTTATCAACACGAAACACAAATGTGCTTGACATTAATATATAAAGAAAGATCAGCATAAAATTGAAAGGTCCCCAGGAGGGCTTTAATAGAAAAAAGAATTGAAAAGAATGCAGATCTGTTTGGATGAAAACCCTTTTACTAGGCTTATGGAAAGAACAAATCTCATTTAAAGGAAATTGGAAGGAAAGTCTTGCTTAACACATGGAATAAAATGAGTGTGACCTGAGCTGTTTACAAATAGTACCTTTCTTGAACTTTAAAAATCAACATTCCTTATTTTCATGAATTTATGAACCTACAGTGACTACTGCCAAGAATATAGACTATGGTTGTGTAATCCTACAACTATTGGTAATTACTGTTTGTGCAATGGTTTAGATTAAAAGAAATTTACATTGACCTGTGTTTTGACATTGATACCACATGTATAAGTTATAAAGTGTGGTGTCTTTGATAGGAGCGTGCTGCTTAATTATTCAAGCAGGGTGTGTTGTTAGATCTAGAAGACTATTTGTAAAGGTAAAGGCATGTGGTCCTACAGTGTAACCAAAAGAATGTCAATTTATCAAAAGAAATGTTACTTTTGCTTAATAGGCCATTAGGTTTTGAATGTTTCACCCCTTCAAGACAATAGAGCTTAGCTATTATATTGAAGGCCCTGATTTAACTTGACTTTTAATATAAATCACATGGTTCTTCACTGTGTAGAGGTGAGCAGCCGTCAGGCCTCAGATATTCTCTGCCTAGTCTGCAAAACTTAGGAGGCTACTTTTGATTGGAATAAAAGTGCACACACTGACTTTTTAAAATGTGGCTTTAATTAATGGTGGGTGGGCAGACTTTTTCAAGGAGATGCATGATGTCAGTGAATATGAACTTTAATGAGAGTAAATGTATTGAGATAAACATGCGTCTCTAATTCTCTTCTTGCGGTCATTAGACCCCCAGTCTCTGCTCCCCCTTCTTACCAGCAGAAGGTCTGTGGAATCAAAATGAGAACAGGCTGGGCTTGTGTTGGAAGGCAGGCCTCCTGAGCTAAGCCTCCAACTGACCTGGCTCTAGAAAGCCCCAGCCTCCCAGAGCGGAGAGCACTGTCCTTTCCTTATTTTCTTCTTTGTGCTTTTCAGTGTTTCCCAGATTGTCCAATACAGACATCCTCTACTTTTTAAAATGTGGGTCGGGGGACCATTTTATTTAAAAGAAAAAACATCGATTCCGAGATGATGTTTAGCCGACACTACAAAGCGAATTCCACGCTGCCATTCACAATGGACCTTCATTTTACCCTAATATTTGAACAGTTTAATTCATTTATTATAGCAGCTGCTTAGAGCACCCTCATGTGTCTCTGTACTGTAATATCATTTCAGATCCTCTGTGCTGTTACATCTTTTTATTTTAATCACAGCCTCAGAATTTGTAATAGCTTTTTCCCTTCAGGTATGCTTGAAAATTCATCCTTGATTGAGTCTAAGTTTCCACCTCCAAATCAGATTGTTAGGGTCTAAAAAGACAAATCTACCTTCTTCAAAACCAACATTCTATCCAGAAGGAAATTCCAGTTTCTCTCAACAGTTCTCTTTAAGTCTAAAGATGCCATGCCATGAAAACTTCTCAATGATTTTTTAAGATATACAAATTACAAGACAAAGTTACTTGGTAGATATCCACCATTTGTACCCTTTCATAAGCTTGAAAATGGCTTTAACATTAGTCTACTCTTTAGAAATAGTCACAAGTAATTACGACTCATTGAAATAGTCACAGCTTCTTGGACCTTTTCTAAGAGAGTCTTTTCTAAGAGAATCAAAATAATCTGTGATCTAACCAAATACTGCCCTCCAGTCACTGGAAAGGTGCATGATAAGAATTCCATAAAAACTCTTTCCCCCGAAGTTCTCTTACTGTAGCGAAAATACAAAGATTATGGAATTTAAAATCAGACCCACCTTAGTTTTAATCTTGGAATACCAATGGCTTTGCTCACCAAAATTCCATTTTTCTCCTGTGTAAAGCGTATTCTGTGGTGCTGTGGGAAGACAAGAATAAGGCAAATAGCACAGAACCTGACATGCAATGGTGCTCAATAAAAGTTCATTCCTTTCTCTTTAGTGAAGCAAAGGTCATCTGTGACTTTATCAGTAGATCTAGACACAGACCCAGTGGGACCTATTACTTAGGATTCAGTCCGTTTGCTCCAGGTATCCATAGACTCATCTTCGGTACAGTTAAACACACTAATAAATAGGCAGGTAATATTTTCTAGTCCCTAAAATCCTATCCAACGTTTTGTAATTTGATCTTCCAAGAAACCCTGTAGGATATAAACCAGCATGAGTATTCCTACTTTTCGGCTGGCAAGCTGCAGACTGGGCTGGATGCAGTGACTAAAGAGTCACACAGTTGTGACGCGCTGGGCTTGGGGCTCAAGCCAGGCAGTGCTTACCCTTCTGTCCTCGTGGACCTTCCATGGGGTCTCTGTTGAGCATTTCTGAGGAAAACACAGTGTTTCTGTATTTTACAAAAAGCAGTAGTTGCCCTTGGAAGGTAGTTTAATGATGACCTTTTTCCCTTGATGTAGGGCTTTTTTTTTTTTTTTAAGATTTTATTTATTTATTTGACAGAGAGAGAGAGCGCGCACGCGCGCGAGAACGGGAACACAGGCAGGGGGAGTGGGAGAGGGTTAGTAAGGGAGTCTGACGTGGGGCTGGATCCCAGGACACTGAGATCATGACCTGAGCCCAAGGCAGACGCTTAACTGACTGAGCCACCCGGGCGGCCCCCCTTGAGGTAGGTCTTTCTTTCACAAGCACCCTACAATGAATTTGTAGGACTTTTTACAACAGGGAGACCATTCTTTTAAAAGCCAAAACATAACGGCTTGTCACTGTGAGCGTTCCTGAAGCAACTTGGCCTTACTGGGTGGATTCAGAAAGTTCCAACTAATGGCGTGCTGCCACTCTGAGAGTCCTGCGTGCCACGGGACTAAATCTAGGTCGACCAGATAATTAAAGCCTTGCTCTGGGAAAGGCACAGTTTGGGGCCCTAAAGCCGTAGGTGGGAAAGCATAAGACAAAGAAGCTCCTGCCCACGAGAAACTTTTGACGTGTCCTTCGGGAGACAAGTGAGACACCATTGCCGGACCAGCTCCAGGCTGTGGGTATTAACAGAAGAATCAGCCATGGGGCCAGTCAGCCCCATGAGGAGAGAAAGGTTATGTCCCAACAGAACTGGGTGTTGGAGCTGGAGATAAAGATTTCCCATGACTGAGATAGGGAAAATTCTTTCCAGGACGAAGAAAAACTGCAAGGCCAAGAAAGATACTGGAGCAGAAAGAACATCAAAGTTGAGGAATGACGAGGGCTCTAGGGTGGAGTTCATAACTGAGACTTAATAGCAGCTGAGGCTGCAAATTGGAGTCTGCCAGATCTCAGCCTCGAATGCCGTGCAGAGAGATTTGGATATCGCTGGGAAACAACAGGAAGGCACTGAGCAATGCAGGAGAAATTAAATATTTAAGTTCCGCTCTTACGCATTCTTAATTCCTCTGGAGTCCCCTTTGAAAGAGTGATAGATTTCAGTTCGGGTGTTCTATAATGTGTTTGAATTAATGCCTTAAATAGAGTAGGAAAATTATAAGAAATGTTTACTTCCCTGAATTTTATTTTCAGCCTTAAATATACATATAAGGGCTGATGTAGATATTAGGCTTTCTGATGTATACTAACGAAAAATTAGCATATGGCAACTGTGTTGAAATTTGTATTTTTAACATAATGTTTACATTATTATTGGCTACTTTATTCATTAGGGGTTCTCAGCTAGTGAAGGCCTCTTGACCAAGGCAGTACAGAGGCTGGGCTCTACAATCAGAATATTGGCTCTAATACTTGAGCATGACTTTAGACAGGTTACCCAAAGAGGATTTCCACATCAAATAAAATGTATACACTGGGTTTTAAGCAGGACTAAAAGGCAGGTACCATAACTGTCCATATTTTGCATATGAAGAGACTAAGGTGTAAGA